AAATAATTGCCAACTGAGGATCCTGTACCCAACAAAGCTCTCCATCAAATATGAAGGAGAAATCACAACCTTTGCAGAGAAGAAGAAACTGAAAGAATTTGTGAAAACAAGAAAAAAAAAAATACAAGAACTTTAAAAGGGAAGTTCATCACATAGCAACACCAAAGGAAAGTGGATGAAACAGAGTAACTAGAAATAACAGAAAAAGAAACACAGCAAAATGGCAATGATAAAACCTGGCCTGTCAATAATCACAGTTAAAGTGAATGGACTAAATGCACCAATTAAGAGAAAAATAGTAGAATGGATTAAAAACCCAATCCCCTTAATATATTGTCTATTAGAGATACATCTAAGAAAGGAAAAGAAAGATACACTAAAAATCAAAAGCTGGGGGGGGGGAGGAATACCAAGCAAAAGGTATCTACAAAAAAGCAGGAGTAGTAAGACTAATCTCTGTTAAAATAGACTTCAGGATGAAAAGAACCATAGATTGAGAACAGACTCATCACAAAAGAAGAAATTAAAAAGGTCATAAAAAGACTTCACTGTAAGAATGGACCAGAGGGCATCACAGCTGAATTCTATCAAACAATCAGAGAGGATTTATCATCAATTCTACTTAAACTATTTAAAAAAATGGAAAAAAAGGAACACTCCTAGAGTCATTCTATGATGCAAGCATAACCCTAATACCAAAGCCAGGCAAAGATATTACCAATAAAGAAAACTACAGACCAATATCTCTCATGAATATAAATGCAAAAGTCCTAAACAAAATGCTAGCCAACAGAATCCAAAAGCACATAAAAAAAATAATTCACCATGACCAAGTGGGATTCATAAAAAGTATGCAAGGATGGCTCAACATAAGAAAAACAATCAATGTAATTTACCATATTAACAAAATAAATAATAAGAACCATATGATCTTAGCAATTGATGCAGAAAGGCATTTGACAAAATCCAACAACCCTTCCTGATTAAGACACTCAGCAAAATTGGAATAAAAGGAAATTTCTACAACATAGTGAAAATCATATATGCAAAACCAAGAGCCAATATAATTCTCAATGGAGAAAAACTAAAAACAATTTCCTTGTGAACAGGGATGAGACAAGGAGGTCCATTGTCACCACTTCTATTCAATATTGTACTGAAAGTGCTTGCTAGGTATATCCAACAAGAGAAGGAAATAAAAGGTATCCAGATCTGTAAAGAGACAGTTAAAATATTACTATATACAGATGATATGATAGCATACATAGTAAATCCCAAAGACTCATCCAAAAAACTGTTAAGAGTTAATAGGCCAATTTAATAGAGTGGCACAATATAAGCTCAATATCCAAAAATCAAAGGAATTCCTCTACATTAACAAAGAGAACTCAGAGAAGGAAACCAAGAAAACAATACCATTTGCAATAGCCAACCACAAATTGAGATACTTGGGAGTGAACCTAACTAGAGATACAAAAGACTTATAGAAGACCTAAGGAAGTGGAAAAATGTGCCCTGTTCATGTATAGGAAGATTCAATCCTGTGAAAATGACAATCCCACCAAAAGCAATCTACATATTCAATGCAATCCCAACATAGATACCAAATTAGTTTTTTTAAAAGGAGATCAAAAGGGAAATTGTCAAGTTTATTTGGAGAGGCAAAAGACCCCAAATAAGCAGAACACTTCTGAGAAACAAATATTGAGAGGTATAGCACTCCATGACCTCAAAACCTACTATACAGCGGTAGTAATCAAAACAGCATGGTATTGTTACAATGACAGGCACATAGATCAGTGGAACAGAATTTAGAACCCAGAAATGGATCCAGCTATCTATGGTAAACTGATAATCGACAAGGAAATAAAACTATCAAATAGGAAACTGACAACCTCTTCAACAAATGGTGCTGTCAAAACTGGACTGCTACCTGCAAAAAGCTGCAACAGGATCCACATCTCACACCATACATAAAAATCACCTCAATGTGGATAAAAGACTTGCGAGTAAAGCCCTACACTATAAAGTTCATAAGAGACAAACTTAGATCAAGTTTAGAAGCTCCAGTCGATGGTATAAAGAGACTGCAAATATAGCCAGAAATATACAACCTGAAAAAGGATAAAATTGATGAATGGGACCTTCTAAAAATTAAATTTCTGTGTTCATCAAAAACTTTTTCCAAAGAGTGAAAAGAAAACCCACTGATGGGGAATAAACACTGGGTAATACCATCTCAGATAAGAGCCTCATAATGAAAGTTTACAGAATACTCCTGGGTCTCCACAAGAAAAAGTCTGATAACACAATAACAAAGTGGACAAAAGATATGGAAAGAATCTTCACAGAGGAAGATGTATAAATGGCCAACAGACATATGAAGAAATAAGACGTATGAAGAAATGCTCCAAATCATTGGCAGTAAGAGAGATGAAAATCAAAACCACAATGATATACCACCTCACTCCAGTAGCAGTGGCAAAGTTTAACAAGACAGCAAGTAACAAATGTATGAGAGGATGTGGTAGAATAGGAACTCTTCTGTATTGTTGATGGGATTGTATAATGATACAACTACGCTGCAAGACAGTTTGGCACTTCCTCAAAAAAAGCTGAACCTAGAAATTTGATGTGACCCAGCTATTCCATTCCTTGGAATATACCCCAAGAAGATGAGAACCGAGCCTCAAAAGGAAACTTGTACACCAATGTTCGTAGCAGTATTATTCATCACTGCAAGAACATGGAAATAGTCCAGATATCCAACCATATACAAATGGATTGAGAAGCTGTGGTACATTCATACAATGGAATACTATGCAGCA